AAAAAAAAAAAAAAAAAAAAAAAAAAAAAAACAAAACAAAGAGAGAAGAAAAAGACAGAGAAAAATATCAAAAATGCAAGAAATATCAGTGAACAATAATCCCAAATGGGTATTAAAATAGACTTTTTGCTTAGTCCCTTCCAAAAGGCTTAAATCACTCGACAATTGAGCTGCAAGAAGAAGCAGCAGCAGCTCTGTATCACCGCCGATGCCTTATGTGTTTTTTGTTTTTGTCATCAAAAAAAAAATTTTTTTCATATTATATTCATCTTTACTTCCAGTTTACGGAACCGCTACTTCAGCTACCAATTTTTGGATTCTGAAATCAGTCTTGTAGTTTTTTACTGATTAGCTCTTTCTTTTCCCCATCTCTTTCGTTCGCATCAATCTGTTTCTTCTGAAATCATCAAATGACTTTGGTTTTCCAGTCCATAACCTTCTATAATTTTGTTGCCAACCTCCAGTATACATTTATGATTTCATTTTTACAATAATTTTTTATTTTTCAATTACAGTTGCACTTTTTTTTTTCAGAATTTTAAATACAGTATTTGTTTCAGGTGAAAAAAAAAAAGTAGAATTTTTAATTTTTGATACAGTTTTTGTTGGTTTTTTTATTAAGACATATTGTCTTCTTGAATTTTGCAAATTATGTTGAAATATTGACAACCAATTTTTGATGTCAGTAATGAAGGTGAAATGTTTTTTAGGGTTACAACTACACCGTATTCTTAAAGTATTTTCTCTTTCTAAAAAGAAAAAAGATGATTTTGTTTTATTTCTAAAAGTTTCAGTTGTTTTTTTTTTTCAACAAACTGATTATAATGTGTGTGATTGAAAAATTTTCCAAAATTTTCACTTTATTGCAGTCATATGTCTTGCAGCTGTCTAAAACAAGTTAGATTTACTAAACCAAATTTGTACATTACTCAAATACATCAACTGTTATAACAATATTAAATTTATTGCCAATATTTTTACTGACTTACTGTTAGTTTAGTAGAAAGTTCAACTAGACACAAAAAAAAAAAAAAA